CTGAAGGGTCCCAGGTCCAATTCCAGTCAAGGGCACATGGCCGGGTTGAGGGCTCGATCCCCAGTAGGGGTCATGCAGGAGGCAGCCAATCAATGATTCTCTCTCATCATTGATGTTTCTCTCTCTCTCTCCCTCTTCCTTCCTCTCTGAAACCAATAAAAATATATTTTAAAAAAATTTTTTAAGTGAAGTATACACATACATAAATAAATGTATACAAAGGAAAATGACATACACAACACAGTCAGCTCTTAATTGCAATAAATATGTTCTCAGATATTTACATTACCTGTCAGCACTGGGCATTTTCTGAAATCACAGATCTTATTTAAACCTGCACTTATAACTGTTATGGTTATAGCAAGGGCCACTAAAATTTGAATATGCTTTCTATTTGAAAGTAGAATAAGTAAAAACTGATAATTTAAACAACTCCCAAACGAAACTACCTGAAAATTGCTTTACAAAATGTTGACTTTTAATTGATGTCTTATAAATATCCAACTCAAGGGTGAACAGATATTCAGAAAGTCATGGCAGTCATATAATTAATAGAAAATAATTGTAAATTGTTATTAATTGCATTTCTGGAGTAACTGTGTGTTAAAGGGTCAAAAGTTCAATGTTTTAATTGGAATCTTGAAAAATGAGGAAATAAGTTGAATTTGTTAGAAATTTTGGGGCGCAGCCCAAGACACAGACACTTCAGTTGGAGACACCTGGGTTCTCATTATGAGAACTGTGATCTATTGGAGTTTTTTTCTACAGTTTTTAAAAATACCTTTCCGTATTGTTTAATTCCATTTTCTCTGATTCTGCATTCCTTGAGCCACATTCTTACTTTTTACACATTTCTCACATTTTTTAAAAGAGAACTGCGGTGTCTTGGATAATAGTTATGAGGACCTACCCGCCAGGAAGGAGTGCGGGGATGCAGCACCCAGTCAGGTCAGGCTCTGTGTCCACTCCTCCGACACCTTCACCCCTGGCGGTGAGGCTGGCGGCCACGGAGAAAGAGCACCCGGCTCCAGGCCTCACAGGGACGCTGGGGAGGTGCCCGCAGGTGGCCACGTCTCATGGGAAAGAGCACCCGGCTCCAGGCCTCACAGGGACGCTGGGGAGGTGCCCGCAGGTGGCCACGTCTCATGGGATCTGGCGGCTCCAGCTGGGCTCTGAGCGGGCTCTGGCCTCCGGGACCCCGGGAAGGTGCCGAGGGAACACAGAACCGGTGCCCAGGCGGCATGAGCTCTGGGGATGGGGCCTCGGCGCCGTGGGCCATCAAGTGCTAAACACCTGCACCCACCCGGAGGTGCAGGGACCCCCAGAGCTGTTGGCCAGCCATTGAGGCCCCGCCCCTTGCCCTTTGACCTCTCATTTCCTGCGCTTGGCATGGTGTGCATCTTTCTCTTTCTTGGTGACTAACTCTTTGTTTTATTGATTTACCTAATATTTTTTCTCTTTTAAATTTTAATGTTTTCTGTTATTCTTTACTTCCCCCTTTCTGCTTGCTGTGAATTTATTTTGTTATTTTTCTAGGTTCTTGAGTTAGGAACATCTATTATTCATTTGAGACTTCTTTTCTAACCTGTGCTTTTATTGATGTTTCTCTCTCAGAACTTTGATATGTTGTATTTTCATTTTCAGTCAGTTCAATGTACTTTTTATTTCCCTTGAGACTTCTTTGACTTATAAATTATTTAAAAATGTATTTTTTTAAATTTCCAAGCATTGGCAATTTGATTCCATTGTGGTTAGAGAACACATTCTGTATAACTCTTATTCCTTTTAAATTTTTTGAGATTTTTTTTATGGCTTAGAATAGGTCTATCTTGATCGATGTTTTGTCGGCACTTGAAAAAATGTGTATTTTTCTGTTATTGGATGGAATGTTTTATAAGTGACTATTAGATTCTTTTGGTTGCTGGGGCTGTCATCCATATATATATATAATTATTATTTTTTTTTTTAATTTCAGAAAGGAAGGGAGAGGGAGAGGGAGGTAGAAACATCAATGAGAGAGAACCATCGATCGGTTCCTCCTGCATGCCCCCTACTGGGGATCAAGCCCGCAACCTGGGCATGTGCTGGACCGGAATCGAACCATGACTTCCTGGTTCATTAGTCGATGCTCAACCACTGAGCCACGCCTGCTGGGCTCATCCATATTCTTGATGATTTTCTGCCTAGTTGTTCTATCACCTGTTGAAATGGGGGTGCTGAAGACTCTAACCACATGTGCATTTGTCTATATCTTCTTACATTTTTACTTCACATATTTTGAAGCTGTTGTTTGGTGAAAACACATTTAGGATTGCTATGTCTTTTTGATAGATTAAGCCTTTTGTCATTATATAATATTACTCTCTGTTTCTGATCATTTTCTTTGCTTTATGTGATACTAGAGGCCTGGTGCATGAATTCGTGCACCAGTGAGGTCCCTAGGCCTGGCCTGTGGAATTGGGCTGAAACTGGCTCTCTGACATCCCCTGAGGGGTCCCGAATTGCAAGAGGGTGCAGGCCAGGCTGAGGGACCCCACCGGTGCATGATTGGGGCCAGGGAGGGACACGGGAGGTTTGCCAGCCAGGGAGGGACTGTAGGAGGGCTCCAGGGCATGTCCGGCCCATCTCGCTCAGTCCTGATCGGCTGGACCCCAGCAGCAAGCTAACCTACCAGTCAGAGCATATGCCCCCTGGTAGTCAGTGCATGTCATAGCGAGTGTTTGAGTGGCCTTAGCATATCATTAGCATATTATACTTTGATTGGTTGAACAGACGACCAGAACCAGACACTTAGCATTTTAGGCTTTTATTATATAGGATTGATATAGCCATTTGCCAAGAGACTGAAGATATAGAATGGGAAGAAGATACAGAAGAAGAGGACTTCCATCTCCTCACTGAGCTGGGATCCCACCAGGATGAATCTGCAGCCCAATGACAGGTTGCCTCCCATTCTTTAAAGACAATCTGTAAGGACTAAAGTATAATAGAAAGTCAGAGCTAAAGATCAGTGAAAACTGGAGTTATCAAAAAATGAACTCAGAGGAAGTTTCCATGCTTGTCTTTATTTCAGTTGGAGTTTTTTCCTTCTATGTATCTTTGCCTTTTGGTTTTTAACTTTTTATTATAAAGTAATTCAAGTTTTCAGATAATTATAAAGAATTCCCAATGATACTAATACAGGTGACTCTTCAACAACTCAGGAGATGTAGGGATGCTGACCCTCACACAGTCAAAAATCTGCATATAACTTTTGACTCCCCCAAAATTAACTACTAATAGTCTACTGTTGACTGGAGGCCTTACTGATAACAGTTGATTAACATATATTTTTGTTATATGCATTATATATTTATTCTTAAAGTCAGCTAGAGAAAAGAAAATGTTATTAAGAAAATCATAAGGAAGAGATAATACATGTACAGTATCTAATGAAAAATAAATGTGTGTATAAGTGGATCTACACAGTTCAAATCCATGTTGTTCAAGAGTCAACTATATATACATTTTACCAATTTTTTTTCACATTTCTTTATCATTTCCTTTTCTCTATATATACTTATTATTAATTTTTTGTGAACCACATAAAAGTAAAGTACAGCCATAAGGTCAATTTATCTCTAAACACTTTATTTTTTCCCTAAGAACAAAGATATTCACTAATCTCTCTTCAGTATAACTACAAAAATCAGGAGATATAACATTAACATATTTCGCTATTCTGAATAAAGCATTTTTCTGCCCCTCTGGTCCAAGAAGCAAATCCAATATCACATATAACATTTTATCTCCTCTTATCTGAAATAGCTACTCAGGCTTTCTTGTCATGACTCTAATATTTTTGAGGAGTACAGATGCCCTGTTTTGTACTATAATGTCTCTCAATGAGGTTTTCCATTGGTTGCTCCTGTTTCAGTCAGGATTATAAATTTTGGGTAGAAAAACATGTCCTCTTAATGCATTTCATTAATACATAAATAGTGTTAATTTGCCCCAATATTGGTAATGCTAATGTGGATGGATCACTTGATTAAGTAGTATTTCCAAATCTCCATTATAAAAGTATTAATCCATAATTTTTAAGCACTTTGTTACTTCTGGCTTAACAAATTATTCTAGGCTCATCTCATAAATTTCCCACTTCAGCTTGGAATCAGTTATTTCACACAAAAATGCCTGGAGAATCATATTTTCAAAGCAATATCTGATTTTATTGGGTGTTAAAAAATTAATTTTTTTGTCATAATTGTTGCTAAATTTTTAATTCTCTCATTGAATAGGAGAAGTGTATAATTTGGAATAAGTACATTTTTATAAGATAATAGATTATTAAATTTATTTGTTTAATTGTAACACAGAGACAAATCTATTTCACTAAATTAACATTAATATCAAAGAAAATTATCTCAATATTATGCAGTTTGTTTTTAGGCAAAACTATGTTTATAATCCCCAGATCTTATTAGTTATCTTGTTTACATTTTTCTTGGTTTTAATCATATTTAAATAATTATAAACTACCTAAACTTTAGATTTACAGATTAAACTTTCAATAGTCTGGTTCATTGTGTGAATAAATATGGCACCTACCACATATGAGATTTGACATTGTGGGTTTTTTTTCCTTTTATTAATTTTTAAAATTATTATAATTGCATTTTACATTTAATATCATTTTATATATTAGTTCCAGATATACAACAAGGTGGTTAGACAACCATATACTTTACAAAGTGCTCCCCCTGATATTTCTATTACCCACCTGGCACCATACATAGTTATTAGGATATTACTGACTATATTCCCTATGCTGTACTTTACATCCCCATGACTATTTTGTAACTACCTACTTGTGCTTCTCAAAACTAGGGAAACTTTATGACTTTGCCCATCACCCTTGTGCAGGGGCCAAGCTAATCTTTTTTTTTTTAATTTTTAAATCTTTATTGTTGAAAGTACTATATATATCCCCCCTTTCCCCTAAATATCTTTTTTTTAAAAAAAAATCTTTATTGTTCAGATTATTACAGTTGTTCCTCTTTTGGGACCAAGCTAATCTTCTCTGTATCATTCCAATTTTAGGATATGTGCTGCCAAGTTTTCAAAAGTATCTTAAAACAACATGAAATTCGATAAAAAAAAGGTACAGAGATAATGCACATGTGAAACACACAGCCAAAAGTGATCATTGTTAATAATTTGTATCTATGTTTTCATGTACATAATTATATAATTTCATATATATAATGTTTTTATATACATACATTTTCATATACATAACTAACTAAAATTATAAGATCAGTATTGTTTATGTATTTCCTTCATTTATAATTATATCATGTACATTTTTCATGTCAAATATTTATCTGGTCTTGGCCTGTTGCTCAGTGGTTAGAGCATCCGCCTGCAGACCCAAGAGTTGTGGGTTCAATTCCCAGTCAAGGGCACATACCTTGGTTGAAGGATCTTCAGCCCCAGTAGGAGCACGTGCAGGAGGCAACCAATTGATGTGTCTCTCTCAAATCAATGTTTCTCTCTCTCCCCTCCTCTCTCTCTTTCTCTCTCTCTCTTCCTTCTTCCTCCCTCCCACCCTCTCTAGAAAAATATCCTCCGGTGAAAATATATTTATTTATGTATGTATGTATTTATTTATTTATCTGCAGCATACTTTAAACAGTTGCATACTATTTCATTGCATACAAACATTTTAATTTACATAGTATATTAGCTTCTAAGTTGTATGCAATATAATACTACAGTGACTAAATTATATGTATATATTTATCTGTATATCATATCTTTTATTATTTTCTTATAGTAAATTCCTAGACATGGAAGCTCTCAGTCAAATCAATCTATCATTTATCTATATAGCTCCATTATCATCACCTTTCTATCTATAAAAAGCAAACTAGCAAAAACATTAAGACACATTATCACTGGAAGAAATCACTCAGTGGGAATGAGTCTCTAATTTAGCAATCATGACTCTATAATCTCAAATTCACATTTCTCACGAAGTTCCCACTTTAGCTTTTCAGCTTCTATCATGCTGACCCTCATATTCTAATTAATTTAGTCAAACTGGTGTCAAATGTATCTCCTTAGGTTTATCCTCACCTCACCTTCATATTAAATACTAAGGAAGAATAAGAATAGTTAGAACCCCAGAATGTTTTATTTGGGGCTTTGATCACTGTCAAAGGGGACCGGTGCAAAGGAAAAGTTCATGAAAAATAACTTACCACAAACATTTCCACAAGCAATTGTTCCATCCATTACCTGGATTAATTATTGATCTGTATATTCTAGGGATATCAAAGTTACAGCAAAGGAGACATGACTAATGAAAAGATTTCAAATACTATATGGAGATAACTGACATGATGACACCAGTACTGATTAGGATTCTTATGCAGAAAATAATGATAATCTTTTATGAAACACTCGCCATTGGCCAGACTCTGCACAAGGCACTTTATATACACCATATCATTGGTTCCTCCTGTCAACGCTGATGGATTTTTAATAGATGATGAAATTAACATTCAGAGAGATTCAGTGAGGTTAAAGTAAGTTGCCAAAGTCACATAACTGGTTAATAGTAAAGCTGGCATTTGAACCCAGGTCTGGTTGACCTCAAAATATATGCTTTTGCATCCTACTGACCGGCCAGTTTCAACAAAGTAAAAGCAAGATATATGTGGTCTTTTCCCCCATCACCATTTTCAGAGATATTTCCTTAGCGTAAATTCAATCATTTAAAAAATACTTATTTTAAAAAATCATAGCCACCTTAGAGAATATTCTATATTTTTAAAGGATATGATTGAAGAAGGTACAGTGACTTTTTTATGGAAAATGTTTCCCCTAGATAAAATTTTTATCCTCCTTTTGAGATTTAATATTCTTTGTGAAGAAAGTCAACTCCCTTACTTTTGAATTAAATTAAAAAATCACAACAATGAACTAGAAAAAAAAAAGAATAGTTAATGGAAAGTGAGGCTTCATGAAGCTTAAGTATAATCTGACTACAATGTATATAGCTTCTTATTGACTGGGTTAAACCAGTCTCTCTTAGTCTACTTATAAGCCATCTCCTCTCAATTTAAAGAAGCTGATTACAACTTTATGGGACATTTGTCTGTGTTTCTTACTCCCATAATTAAAATAGTTCCACGTGGAAGTAGCTATCCCAATACCCACTATTCAGGATTTCCTTCCCAGATATCTTTTTACATATTAAGATCAAGAGATACAAATGTCTCACTTTGCTTCTAATCTATTGGTTTCTTCTTTTTTTAAATATGTTTTTATTGATTTCAGAGAGAGGGAGAGGGAGAGAGAGATAAAAACATCAATGATGATAGAGAATCATTGACCGGCTACCTCCTGCACACTCCCCACTGGGGATCGAGCCTGCAACCCGGGCATGTGCCCTGACCAGGAGTCAAACCATGACCTCCTGGTTGAAAGGTCAATGCTTAACCTCTGAGCCACATGGGCCAGCCAGGTTTCTTCTTCTTCTTTTTAAATTCTTTATTATTTAAAGTATTACATGAGTCTCCTTTTCCCCCCCATTTTGGTTTCTTCTTAATTCCAGTTTGTGACCCAAGAGGGACGTTGTTTCTTATGAATGACAACAGGAATCACTTGACATTTTAAGGCCTACACCAGTGGTCGGCAAACTCATTAGTCAAATATCAACAATACAATGATTGAAATTTCTTTTGAGAGCCAAATTTTTTAAACTTAAACTATCTAGGTAGGTACATTGTTATTAACTTAATTAGGGTACTCCTAAGCTGGCCTTTGCTAAAAACATCCTCAATCTGATTGAGGTACGTTCGCTGAGGTCAACCCCTTCCAACTCTCCCATCCACACTCGTCTTGGATACTTGTTTCAGATAGACGAGTGTGGATGGGGGGGTTGGAAGGGGTCAACCTCAGCGAATGTACCTCAAAACAATGTACCTCCCCCACGCTGCGTATCCCGTGGCCCTCCTGCACCACATCTCCTGTCGCCCGACCAACCGACACCCCCCACTTCTTCTAACGCCACTTCTTCAAAATAGACTCGTCCAGGCCAAAAACCGACTTCTGCGCATGGGCCACAAAGTTTCAATCGCACTGTACGTGCGAGCCTGCACGTGGTATTTTGTGGAAGAGCCACACTCAAGGGGCCAAAAAGCCGCATGTGGCTCACGAGCCGCGGTTTGCTGACCACTGGCCTACACCATCCATTACACACAGATGCCTTCACCACACAATCATTAAAGTTAATGTTTTAATATTCAGCTCTTAAGTACAAAATGTTGCATAATTGTGATAAGACTCATTACTCATGGCCAAAACATGTTTTCTACCTAACTAACAGATAATATGAGATAAATTTTAAATTAATGGATGTAGTTTTACTTCATATTTTTTTACTTTCTTTTATGCATATGGAAATAATTAATAATAAAATATTCTAGAAATTATTGTATATATCACAATAATTTTGTGAAATATTATATATATGGAGAATATCAGGTTTAGGTAAATGTAAATTTAAGCATATACTGAACTGAAAAATGCTTGTGAGTCATTAAAAAATACCAGTGTGGTTACACACTGAACTTATTCTATAATCTCACTGTATAAACCTGAAGGGGTCACTCAGAGAGAAGTGGGGTAAAAGGGCTCCACATCTGAGAGGTCTTCTTGTAGGCCCACAACCAGTTATCATAAAAAGGAAGGGTTTGCTTGTTTCTCTTAGACACCTTGAAAAGTCAACCATGACTTAACTCCCACCTCCACCTGATTCCCTGCCCACCCCCTTGAGCGGGTCGTAACAGGCAATACAATCTGGAAGTAGAACTAGATAAAGCATTTTCTCTGCACTAAAGAAGTATGTGGAGATGGTGACAGGGAGAAATAAAGGTAAGATCTGGCCATAGTGATTGAGGCACAAGAAAGGAAAGGCCTCATGACTTGGTGATCTCTGGTTGAGGTGTGTCTGAACAGACAGGACAACACTCCAGCGAATCAGTGCCCTGACAACCTCAGTGAATAAACCCTGACGTCCAAGCTGCACATAGAGAGAATTCACGGCCTAGGGTCTGCTCTCCACGGTGCTGTATGGTGCTGTAAAAACATTCCCTATACACTGGAAGATGCTAACTCATCTTTCTACTCCCTGAAACCCTCAGCCCAGAACCTTATTCACAGCAGAGCATAGCAAATGCCAAGCAGACTCAATTAATCGATTAATTAAGATCAACAAGATGAGCAAATAGAGTAAAATTACACGTTTGGGAATATATGAAGTTAGCTATGTTGATGCCTTATATTTATATTTTTGACTGATTTGTTCAACTTTGTTTGATTTTTTTTAATATAATAAAAATTAATTATCTGCAAATACTGCAAGAGATTGTGAACTAATCAAATTGTTGATTAAATTATTATAATACTTTTGTCTTGGCAGTTTACCTTTCCATGAGTTATTTAACTAATTAATTCCTACATCTGTGTTCTGATATCTAAAGGTACTCATACCATTTTAATTTTTGCTCTGATTATATTAAATTGTACCTGGTAGCAGAAGTTCTGTTTTGTTTTTTGTTTTCAAAGCCTAACTAACTAAAAGCCAGTCCTGATCTGAAGAAGTCATTCTGAAAAGTCACAGTCTGGCCTCAGTCTCCGTCCTCTTTGGTCCCCAAGGGCATGGCTTCCGAATCGGTTTCATTGACTGTTTTTTCCCTGTTTCCTTATTCATCAAGCGCAGAACTCACTCACATTTTGTACACTTTGTCGCCACCGGTAAGGTGACCATCCATCCAGGACTAAAAGTCCCGTATCTCAGAAAACCCCCTGGTTCAGGGCAAAGCCGACAGTTGGCCACCCTAGCACCATCGAAATGACTAAGACTATCTCCAGATTTCACGCATTAGCATTACCTTTCAACTACATGCATGACATTTACCCCAGTTCCATTCCTCTATGAGCAGACATACATACACTGAACGTCATACATGCACTCGTACACACGTGTGCACACACCCATGCCACCTGCTTAAAATCCTCCAGGGGTCCCTCCACACTGGCCTACCTTTTCGGACAGATC